TCAGGGTCGTGGGCAGATCGGTCTCCTCTCCATGAAGCAGCTTCTCAGGGTCGGCTGCTCGCCCTGCGCACTCTGCTGGCCCAGGTAACGACGTCGATGTGCGGCTCCGGTAATCGCTCATCAGTTTGAATAAAGCCGACACACGTGCCGTTATTCACATCTGTTTTTCAGGGCTATCACGCCAACATCGTCACCATCGATCATGTGACTCCTCTTCACGAAGCCTGTCTATCAGGACACGTGGCCTGTGTCAGAGCGTTACTGAATGCTGGAGCTAACGTGAGTATCAGCAGCATCCTTACATCTGTGTGGACGCCCCGTGTGTTTGTGTCCAGCAGCTGTTTGTGTGTCCAGGTGAACGCTGCTACCATCGATGGCGTCACTCCTCTGTACAACTGCTGCACGTCGGGGAGCGTCGGCTGTGTGGAACTGCTGCTGCAGAGCGGCGCACACACACGTGCGCGTCACACACACTTCCCCTCAGCTCTGCACGAAGCCTGCAAGAGAGGTAAATACAGCCAGCGCTCTGTTTGTGGCTGACACGTGTTAACTACAGCTGAGCTTTGTGCTGTGTGTGCACACGTGCAGGTAACAGCCACTGTGTGGAGGCCCTGCTGTCTCACGGAGCAGATCCAGATCAGGAAGTTTCCCACCTGGGCTCTCCTCTGTATGTGAGCTGTCTGCACCGACACACAGCCTGCTCGAAGGTGCTGCTGCACAGAGGTGTGAGTCTCCTTCACTGCAAAGCTGAGTAGCTTCACCTGATGTGTCTGCAGGGCTGTGACTGATGCTTCAAGCTTTCCTCTGAACAATCAGCTCTCAGACGCTCGTGCTCAAATGAAAGCTCCCGTAACCGTGGAAATACATCTGAAGGTGGAAAAAGTGAAAACATGAAGTCACTAACGTCTCTTAACCAGCAGCTGGGGTCATAACTTGTACTCCTTTCAGAGACCATATTACCCCAGTTCTTCTGGTTGCCCACAGAAGCCAAGATAAGCGTAAAAATCTTGGTTCTCACGTTTGAGTGCGTCCATAACCTTGGCCCTCCTTATCTGCTTCATATCTCCACTGTTTCCCGCTCTCTCAGATCTGCCACTCGTCTTGTTGTTCCTTGTTGTCTCCTCACTGTGGGGAGCAGAGCTTTGACTCACTTCCTCCACTCA